ACCTGCCTGCGCCCCGCCCCGAGGTCGGGGCTTTGGAGGATGCGGCCGGGTGAGCTATTGCTTGGGGGGTTCCTCGCACGCTGAAGCGCGAACGCCGGGCAGGGCCCTCCCTGGGAACCGGGTTCCTCCAGTAACGGGAGGCTCACCCCTCTGCAGACCTCTCTGAAGTAGGAGCGCTCTGGGTCGAACGCTCCGGTCTGCAGACGTGGACCGTGCTACCCCCAAACTTGGGGCTGTTTCGCAGCCGAGAAATGGACACTTGCCATCCACGCGTTTACCGTAAAAGCCTGACTCATTTAGTGCATTGGAAGGGAGAGGCGATTTCAGACTTAGAGACCTGGCAGATGAGGAGAGTTGGGGACTGCCTTGTAAATATATGAGGGAGAAATTCTTTAGGGAGTGCCACCCTCGCGCACACTCTCCATCACCCCTTGGTCCCTTCCCCACATTTCTTATAACCCGCAAAAAGTATAAGGTAGTCGGTGGTCTGATGTTGGTTGCATTTAACACTGGTGCAGTGCCACTGCAGAAGGCCTGGCAGGAAAGCCGCAGTGTGCTTTCTGAGGACGGCCACGGCCACGGCCACGGCCACGGCCACCTGGCCGGGAAGCAGCTGCTGCAGCAGTCGGTCTGCAGCATCTTGCGTCTTGGCGGCCAGCGCTGTTCCGCGTTCTGCTGCCCCCAAGGCAGCGCTGTACCGCGTTCTGCTGCCCCCAAGGCAGCGCTGGCGTTCCCTGTGTGGGGCTGGATTTCTTGTTTGTGTCATTTACTCGAATAAGGAAACTGCAATTATAGTGACAAGGTAACACATTACTGCATTTGTGGAGTTTCTGATGACGACTAAGTTAGATTCATTTTGAAATATGTAAGAGACTGAACAAATCGTATCATAAAAAATAATGTGTACAATCTTGAAAAGCAGTTAAAGAACTGGCTTTTTAAAAAGTACTTGAGTTGTATTTGCGTGTAAGGATCTCAAAGTCAGTGTTGTTTTCTAATTATACAAAACCAAGTGTACAGCTCTGCATAAAAGCTTAACCATTGATGTCCTTAAGTCCAGTAACATAATATCATGTGTTAAGTACTAAAAAAAAAAAACAAACCTAAAAAGAACTTGCTTAATGCAGTCTTTTAATGGCAGATTCATAAACATGGAAAACAATGGATACATTTTTCTTATTTACAGTCGATTTTCTCAAAACAAAATAAACATTCAAATTCTTGACATGTTGGGTATCATTCATTCAGTTGTTTTGGGTTGAGGATGGAAGGGACCTTGCTGCAGACACAGTGTAAGGTGGGAATCTTGAATGTCAGCTTGTGGGCTGCACTCTATGCCAGGACAGGTGTCACGGGTCCCCGGCATTCAGAGGGGCTGACAGGTAGCACTGCATCATACGCATATGGCTAGAGGGTTCCTCATACTGCAGCCCCCTGCAGTGAGAAACTGTAATCCTGTCCATTATGCAGGGGTGATTGAAAAGAATTTTGAGAGCCTGCAATGTGTGGCACATCAGGAAAGGAAGATGGCGTGGTAGGGAAACTTAAAACACATTGGGTGGACATAACTAATAGGATTTAGGAAGATCAACCTCTATGTGTGTTTTTGACTAAAATTTGTAAATGAGCTGAAATAGCCCATATATTCTTGAACAGAAACATTGCAAAGACTACGGACACAGCATAGTAACCAGATTGCTCCAAACATTGCATTTGTAACAATAAAAAGCAACTACATAGCAATCACGGTTTCTGAGGTATTACTTTGGCACAACTGTTATCATTCAGAGTCTTACTGCAGCCATTTATAAGTTTCAAGTGCACACAAGAACATCATTCATCTCTGTATTGGCAGGCAAGTACTTAACTGTTGTGCAATCGATATTTCTTTTTAGATACTTTTCTGCTCTTTGCATTAGTTATCTTAAGGATACTAATAATAAGCAAACCAAATGCATGAAAGAATTTAATACTAGGTTCCACTGTTATTTTCTGATTTGTCTATTGCTAATTTATCATTTCCTTTTCCAAATATAATGGTATATTATTAATTGCTTCTTTCTGTGTGTTTATGTGGTGCCTAATGCAGTGTGGAATTCAATAAATATTAAATTAGCCAATCAGTCCTTTTGGAAGTTAATTTAGTAGAATTCATACCTTTTCTTCCTGCTAAGTTTTCATTTAAAAAGAATAATTGACATTGTATGAAAGTCACACAACAATTAAAGTTTGAGGCTAAGGATGGAGAAGGAGGGCCAAGGGCAAAATCTTTCATGCCAAAAAATGAAAAATCATCATACCAAAGTGTGTATAATTTGTTGACATTTTTGTGCCAGGGAGTTATCACTGTCACCCAAGAGAAGACAAAGGCATTGGGGGAGGTAGCTCAGAGTGTTTGACATCAGGTATGTAGAAGGTGATCTATCATGCAACCCTTCTTCCCTTTAGAATCTCAACGAAATTGGGAATAGACACAAGGAACCAAAAGGAAATTAAGATATTGCATTAATTGTATTCAGGGTAAAGTCAAATTGAAGAACATGGCTTAAACTCAAGGCCAGAATGGGACATCTTATTCCTTTTCCCCTAACAGCATGCCCACCCAGTTACAGCTGGCCTCCCTAAAATGAGGGTAGGCAGGAAGTGAGCCTGTACAAATTCCTGCATAGAGACCAGGAGCTAAGAAGAGCCTGACAATTTACAGTCTACAAGGCACACAGCATAAGTGAGCAAGAGACAGCCCATGTGTGAGAAGGGACTTTTGTACATCAGCCCTGCCCATTCGTAGCTGGCAGGTTCTCCCCGGCTTTGACCAAGAGGTTTTAATGCAACAGCAGAAACATCTTCCTCAGCACTTTGCTAGAGGGAAGACGTTGTGGCACAAGTTCCTAATTTATGGAACAGAAGAAGTGTCCACCCTAAGCTGCATAGCAACCAGTTGAGAAAAATTGAAGATGACTCAAGTTTTGAGCTAGGGTGTAGAAATCGTTTTGAAGGGGAAAGATGGCAAGCTGCCTTTTAGACCAACTGAATTGGAGGTGTCAGAAGGACATTAGTGAAAATATCCAGCAAGCCTATGGAGATGTGGGTGGAGAGGTCACAGCCAGAAACAGATTCGGAGCCATGGGCACAGGTTGTAGTTAGAATCATGGGAACAGAGGAAATGGCTAAGGAAGAGGAGCTATAGAGAGAATTGAAATCGGAACTTTAAAGACAGCTTCCGTTTGTGGACTGGAGGATAGCAAAAGGCGGGACAGTTGGAGCCAAGTGGGGAGTGTCCCAATTTACTGGCCTACTAGAACAGAGAAGCACAGATGGGAGGTTAGGGAGGGGAAAGTCCTCACCTCAGTGAGGACTGGTGACTAGGAGATTTCTGAAAACCTTCCAGAGAATGGATTCCTCATGATGGGAGAGGCTAAAAATGAGCATGGGTGAGTTGAAAAGAGAATGAGAGGAAGAGAGGAAAAAGAGGAGAAATTAGCCAGGGATGGTGGCACACACCTGAAGTCCCAGCTACTCAGGAGCCCCTGACTCAAAGAAAAAAATAAAAAGAAGAGAAAGCTGTTGTCTACCATCTTTGCAGAAACTTAACATGGGAATGAGTGGAAAAGCAATTAAAGCCTGAATAAAGGCTGATGATGATTCTTTTGTAAGGATAGGGGTATTTGAAGAAGTTCCTAGAGAACTTGGGAGGAACTGCAATGGGAACCAGCAATGGGAGGGAAAGAATTGAAGCTAGGGGAGAAGGGCGTTCTCCTGGTGATTGTGATTTAGCAATGTGTTTCAGTATAACTTGAGTCCCCCCAAGACTGGTTATTTCTGCTCTCAGGCTGCTTTTATCTCTGCAGAGCTAAAATTAAGGCCCCTCCCTACCCATGGACTCTTCCCTACCAACCCTGGCTACTTACACTCAGACTTGAATAATAACTGTTAGGGAAAGATAAAGAATGCCTTGGAACATAGCCTAGGTTTCAATGCATATTACAAACCTCTATGGAAGTGAGTAAATTACCCAACTGGTAATCATCTAAGGACATTACCTTGAAATATTTCTCCCTTAAAAACAAAAAAGTTTAGGTAAGAATGGCTCTAGCAATAAATTATTAGAAATAAATCACATTTATTTTGGCCTGGTAGCCTAGTCTAGTTGAAATATTTTACATGTGCTAGTTTTTGGTGGTTGTTTGTTTGTTTGCTTGTTTGTTTGTTTTTGAGTTGGGGTTTCACTGTTGTCCAGGCTGGAGTCTCACAGCCACCGAAGCCTCAACCTGCTGGACTTAGGCAATCCCTCTGCCTCATCCTTCCAAGTAGCTGGGACTACAGGTACACGCCACCATGCCAGGATAATTTTTTGATTTATTGTAGAGATGAGATCTTGCCAAGATGCCCAGTCTGGTCTCGAACCCCTGGGCTCAGGCATTCCTCTTGCCTCCGCCTCCCAAAGTGCTGGAGCCACTGCACTCAGCCAGTGTGCCAGTATTAAAATGTGAAGCAGCTACATCATCTGGAAGAATCTTGGCTGGGATTTCCAGTCACTGGGATCAGGGAAGCCATCCTGTGGATGGATGGATTACTATTGTCTTTTTAATATTTGAGTTTTTAAGAAAAAATAATTATAATTTACAGTAATATCAAATATTACTTTCAGCAAATAGTCCCTGGAATAGGACTTTATTTTACCATCATAAAAAACTTTTAAGATAATTTAAAAGTATCATTCTAATAAAAAATATTGCAAATGGAATCATTCCAGATTGTTCTTTTAACATTTTAGTAATTTTAAAACCTAATTAGGATATGCTGTTATAAAGGTTACCAGGCTGCAGAATCTGTGACAATACTGTGGGAGAAAAATGTTCTTTTATGGTGAGCCTAACAGACTTTTCAAAAAAGTCAGCTGAGTTGGGAGCTTAAAAACATCAATATAATTTAATTTACTCTATAATGCTTTGCAGACAGTTTTGGGGACGTAGTCATTTATTATCCACAAGCAAATAGAATTCATTTCTATAGTTTCCACATTGAGTGTGGGATTAGTCATGCAGCAAA